TGATGATTTTTAATTCTTTTATACAATGTTGCATGTATTAGTCTGAAAGGATCAAAAAAAAAATATATAATAAATTTTATTGAGAAAAAAAAAATTATTTTTTATATATGTATAACAATAATTACGAGTGAATCCTTTTTAGGAGAAACAAAAAATTTATGTTGAAAATTTAGAAAATTTAGAAGCACTCTAAATAGAATAGGAAGGAATCGAAAGCAAATTTTGTACATCAACCATTTCTTATTATTTGTATATTAAGAAATTAAAATTCCAATAAATTTTAATTGGTCTTTTCTAACTATAAAAAGACAAGAAATAATAAAATTGGGGGGTGATTATTATGGCGATATTCGAAAATACGAATAATTAATTTGGCATTATTTTCGAAACTATTTTATTCGATTGAGTTTTGAGCTTTAAATTACAATCTTTATTATAACAGTGAAAATATTTTAATTTTTTGTTAATACACACAAAGCATATTGAGAGCAAAACAAAACCAAATACGCCACTTTTTTCTATTTTTGATTGAAGACATGTTTAATCAGTTGAGACGTATGAAATAGTTTGTCCCTTTACCGGACTTTATATAGGTTTTATATTAAAATAAGAAAGTATATTGGAAATACTGCGGTATTTTTTTGAAAAATTATGTATAATTTAATTTATAATTCGATGTGATTTAATTAATTTCCAACGCTTATAACGTTCAAAATTAATATTAGATTCGTTTGATCATGAAATCTTATACGATTTGCAGACAGATTTAATGCAAATAATAGAAGAAACTTGGTTTTATTGTGTTACTTAGGGAATACGTGTTTACTTTCAAAATTACAGAGGTCCTTTTTAAAAATTTTACAAAAATTTTAAAGTTTTTTGTTTTCTTGAAATTTTGGGAAAAAAAAATAATCATGTTTCTTTTTGTGTTTCCGTCTTCTTTGCTTAAACAACAGCATATTGTAGACTAATATCTAATACTCTAATGCAGACTTTTTAATTTTGAATTATAAAATAAAAATTATTTGATTTCTTATTTAACAACTCCTTCAAATTAAACTCAATTATATTTTAAATGATTTTTTGAAATTTTCGTTTTCATTCAATTGCATTTAATCGCATAGATTCAAAAAATTGAGATGTCTTTAAGTTTACGACTGATTAATTTGGATTTTCAATTTTATTGGCATTAATTTTATTATTTGATTTGAATTCCTTTAGTATTTTCGTTTTCATTCACCACCAAAAAACCTATGAGGTTGAATGAAATTTTCAAAATCTTCCTCTCAATTACTTATAGTATGTCGTTTTTATAAATTCAAGTACATTTTGGAGCTAACCGACGAAATCTGTAAATTTTAATAATTTTTTTTTTTCAAATTAAAAATTTACATGTTTTTCATTTTAATTAAAATTTGTATTTGAGACAGGATGGCAATAAACTAAAAATATTTCAACAATATTTTTTAACATTTTTCTAATATTTTTAATTTTCTATAGAGATTTTTCTCGAATCCTTAGGCTTATATCGATACTTATACTAATTTAGTAAAACAATGAGAAAAATTTTTTGGTAATCATAACCATTTTTTTTTCATTTCTTAATTTTTTATTCTTGTTCTGCAAAATATTAGAAAAATTTGTTAAATAAATAAAGGACAAATTCTTGTCATTGTCCTGTTTTTTTTGCTTTGCTATTTCTTGTTCTTTTCTCGTGTATTTTGCTTTTTAAAACAAAACTGTTGACAAATAAAAAATATTTTCTTTTTTGCAAATCAAAAGAAAAAGGAGTAGACCTCAAATATTTTATGTAGCCCCCTTATATATCATATAGGCTTAAATAAGACACTTAAAAAAAAAAAAAATAATTTTTCTGTTCACAGATTATGTGTGAAAGATTTTCGAGTGACAAGAAATTTTAGACTTGTTTATTTTTCCTCTGTTAAGGAAATAGAATATAGGAAAAGTTTACATTTTTTTAAGAGAAAAATGACAACAATTTTTTATTTTACATTTTATAGTTAAAATTTATGCATTCCTTATGTTTTATAACATGCACTAAAAAAATTTTTTGAAAATACAATATTTTTTTTGGATTCAAAATTTTTTAAAAGAAATTATTTTTGTTCTTTATAATAAAATTTATAGTTACTCATACAAATTATACATAAATATTATTATATAAAATAATGTATAAGAGTATAGAGAGAATCAATTAAAAAAGGACAACTTAACTAAATACACTTAAGATTTTTAAGGAAATGAAATTTTTGTGATATATTCTGAGTGTGTATTTATGTGATATTGTAAATATTTTTGAATAATACAATAAATGTTCATATATACCTACTTATATATTGGCAAAAATTTCTTGCACAAAATCTATATATTTTTAGCATAATACAGGGTGGTAACTAGCAAATATCGTAAAAGTAAATAAATCATTCAGTATATTTAATTTACTGTTATATTTTATAAAAATGAGAATATAATTGTGTTTTAAAATTACTACAAAATAACAGGTTGATTTTCATTTATTTACTAGTCTATTTTAAGAGTACAACAAGTTGGCTTTGTTCATAGCAAATTTCCTGAGCAATTTAAAACAAATTCAAAAATTTTGACGGTTTTCCGACAAAAACTAATTTTGATGCCTTATATAACTAGAGATCGGGAAAAACATTTTCCAAAAAATGAAAATGTTTTTTGATATTTTTTGTCATTCCGGACGCATAACGCATGTAATGAACCGCAATACAAAAAAGTATGGTACTCCTTTATATAAGACCCGATACAGAATTATTTTAAATGGATACAAATAAAATTAATTGAAATTTAATTTTAGAATAAAATTTCACTTATAATATTACAGGCGAGTACCTGGGGCTAAGGCAAACTCGCAATTTTTAGTTTTTCAACTATTTGATTGCTTACATTTGTATTTTATAGGTTTAGATAATTAAGTGTGCTCAAATGCAACTGTATGATTGCATGCAATTAAGCAGTCAAACTGTTTACATTTTTTTATATTTCAATTAAATAATAAGGAAATTCCAATGAAATAAAAATTTAAGAAACAGCATTCAATTGCAATATTACACTTACACCCTCTACTGGCACATTGCATATATTTCACTCTGTTCAGGAATTATAAAAAAAAATTAGATGGTATGTGACAGTAGTAAAAATGTATCTAATTTTTAACCCTCAAACTAATTTTAATGTTCTTAATGTATTTTATATACTTGTTTGGGAAACAAAATATTATTTATCATTCCTTATTCATAATTCAATTGAAGATAGCATTTATATAGTATATACAAACACCATTATGTTCTCAGATTTATTAAAAACTTCTTGTATACTGACGTGTATATATGCACATTTAATATAGAAATATGTAAATTTTATAGTATATGCAAAAAAGCTAAAGAATTCATCATTCCAAAATAATTTTTATTTCAATATAATAGTATTGTACACCTATATGTTTAAGTATATTTAAAAATACCAATGTTTATTTTAATATTCGTCCTGTTTTTTTAATATCCTTTATAGATTTCTATATATAATAAATAAAATTTTTCCCCCTAAAAATATAAGATATTAGTCTTTTATATATTCAACTCAATATATAATAAAAAGGGTTATTATATTTGCATCAAAATGTAGATATATATATGTATACGTACTCAAATCAAATCTGCATAATCAATCACATATCATACCTACATAAATAAATAATCTTATGATATATATATATAGGACCAACATAATATTAAAATCGTATATATAATTTATAAGTTTTATAAGAAATTTTAATTATTTTTCGAAAAAATTGAAACTTCTTTTCTGATTTCCCATATGATATATTATTATATTGTATAAGTAAAAATTGTCTTTGACAACTCTAATATGCAAATCTTGATGCATTCTCATATATATCACATATACTGTATATATCACATATGCATAAATTGTTATATATTTAGATAGTTACTGGGATGAAATTCAACAAGAAATCATATTTTATATTATAAAGATCTGGATATGACTTAAGACCATACAATCGTTATATTTAATATGAGAATAAATTTAGATATATATATATATATATATATATATATATATATAGTGTTATATGCATTTTTGAAAAATATACAAATTTAAAATTGCAATATTTTTGTGTATATATTAAAAATGGAAGACTTTTATATAAGTACATTAAATTTTGTTGTTCTCAATAATATTTTGCAGTTATTATAGATATTGTATTTATTTCATTTCTATTTTAAAGTAATTGGAACATATAATTATAATAAAAGTGCGGCCGACAACAACAGCATATAAAAATTGCAAAGTTGTTATTTATTTGAGCTAAATTGCAAATACACACATTTATTGAGTTTACATTTATGGAACAGAGCTATTTTTGAATTATAAGGGCTCGTACCTAAAACCCATCTGAAATTAGTAATATACACCCGTTAAGAATGGTAACGTTAATACAGTGCTTTATACAAAGCACAGGAATTAATTTTTAATAACATTTAAATAAAATCAAAAATCCAAAGATTTCTGGAAAATTTTTAAAAATCTTGATTTATTTATTTCTCAATCATAATAATTTATTTTTAATTGTATTTAAAATCCGAAATGAATTAAAACTTTTACACAAAGTACCGTGAATATTCTGTTAAAAAAATTTTAAACAGTTACAGCAGCATAAATTTTCTCACTCTATACGAAAAATAACAGAAATACTCAAATTATTAATAACGAAATAAAAAAAGCACTCACTCATTTATTTCATTGAAACTTCATTTTTCTACTCATAACAAAATGTAAACAAAATAAAGTATTACTCATATTTTTTTTTATTCAGCCATTCAATCTGACTCAGCAACTGTGATTCAGTCATAGAGCTGCCATTATTTTTCCTTTTTGTTGTTGTTTTTATGAACATATGATTTTATTTCATTCAATTTGACGTTTAATAGTTTAGTTGAGTGCGCTTTTTTTTAGTTTTCTGTAAACAATTAAAGTTTTTTAATTAAATTTTAATAAAATGGATCCACCATTAGCTTTATCATTAGAGGAAATACGAAAATATATGTTATTAAATAATTGTAAAGTAACAAATCATGCTTTAGTTAAGCATTTTCGTAAATTTCTAACAAATCCTGATTCACAAGGTAAGTTCATATGAGCTGCAAAATTTTTCATGTTATTGCAAATAACTTGAAATTTATCCAACTTGTTGAATGTTTGCATTTAAAAAAAAAGTAATATTTTTCATAAACTTCAATTTAATTTTATATTTTTTTTATTATAATTAATAGAAGAAGCAAGAAAATTATTCAAATCTTATGTTAATATATTGGCAACTATGAAAAGTGAAAATAATGAAAAATTTTTGGTTTTACGTAAAAAATATTTACATGAATGTCCGCCTGAAGATATTGTTAATAAAACAATTGATTGTCCAAGTCCAGCAAGTCCTGGTAATTCATCAATATCATCAGAAAATTTTTCATCACCATTTCGTCAACCTCCACCATATAAACCACCACCAGAGGTCTCACCAAATATTTCTGGTTTACCAAAAGTTGTACAACCAACGTTACAACAACAAAATGTTCCAATTTCATTTGGTATTGGTGTACCAAAAGAAATGACATCAAATTATCGTGAATGTGTTAATGAATTTGCTGCAGCTGTACGTAGAATTGATCCAAATCGTATACAAGAAACAGTATCTTCAATTCCAATAACATCAGATGAATCATTACATTCAAATGATGTTCTTATGCAAGAACAAGAACATCAATTGCAACAGCAACCACCAATTTTACCACCACGTAAACGTACAAGTATTGATCAAAATAGTATTGGTTCATTATCACGTGAAAATTCTCATGAAGAAAATAAAGAAAATGTTGATGATAAAGGAAATTTACCAGAAAAGAATAATAATATTGGTCAACGATCTAATAATGAAATTGATAATAAGCTAACTGAAAGTGAAAATCAAATAAGTGTTAAAGAAGCTACTAGAAAATTTAATAGAATGGCATCAGAAGAAGAAGCTAAAGTTGTATCTCCACCATCAAAAAAGAAACCGGAAAAGGTGAGTGACAATTAAATTTTATTTGAGTTTTGCAATTTTTTTAAATGATTGTTAGTTAAGTTGTGTAAAGCGTAGGCAAATTCATTCTAACTAAAATTATAAATTTACCTTTTAAGAGTAAATTAGCAGTGTAAATGAACTAAGTGAACAACAAATTTTAATTCAAAAATTGAAAATTTAAACAATTTTTGATTTTATGAAACCTTAATTTCAATAATAGTTACAACGTCACGTGACTTATTAGTGAATGTAGTTTTTACTTGGCAGCAAGTTATTAAGCATAAGACGAAAGTAAGAAAAATGTAATAAACCTACAAATCTGCTTATACAATTCGTGCAATTCCACTGAGAATAATAAAAACGTTTTGTTAAAGGAATTTTTAAATTATTCAAAATCACTATAAAACACGATACTTAAATACTCTCTTATTACCTTTTTTTTGTTAATCTACTTTTATACCTTTTTAGTTTTTATTATTTTATATTAAAAATGGTAGTTAACGAAATTAATTAAAAAAATTTTCTCCCTTATACTTAGTTTTGCATTTTTTATTTAATTTTTTCTTTTTGTTGGTGCAAAAACAAACTATTTTTTAATTTTTATATACCAAGGCACATTTGTACAGCATTATGTCTATATTTAATTTCTGGTACCTTAATGAAATTTTCTTTATGGTGAGAAATACTGAATTGTAATAAAATATTAAAATCTTATCAAAAAAAATTGGTCATGATATAGAATACTTATATGAAAACAATAACAATAATAACAGGAATATATTAATATATATATATCGCACTGAATTAAACAATTCCATTAATTTTATTACTCGTAATATCATCATCATCCACAGAAAAAAAGGTATGTTGTACTTTTGTGTAGGAGATGAACATTTTTGAAATAGGAAGATGGAAATGAAAAATAAAAACGTGAATACAATAAAAAAATAAACCAGAAAAGTTTTTTTTTTTTTGATGATCAGGATTTGATACAAGTAATTTTTTTTGATTTAATCTTTAGATCTGAGATATTTATTTTATGAAAACATGAAATTAGAATGAATATTGTTTTAATAGGAAAATGATACTTAAGATTTTCATTTTTGTTTTGTTAATTTAGAATTTCTTTTTTTTTTGTTAGGAGACAAATATTGGAACATTTGATATCTTAGGCATTTTTGCACAAATACCATGTTAGTTCTTCGAAAATTTTAAAAAATCATAATAGTAATCAAAATATTTTTAATTTTTTAGATCCAAAAATATTTTTAAATATTGAAACTTGGACAAATATTTTAATTTAATTTTAATTTCATTAATATTAGTTTTTGATTTTATACTTACCAGCATTAATAGTTTAGCAATATAAAAATGCTTGCATGTTTCCATTTTAGAATTTGGAATTCCTAAGCCATTTGTTTGCCCTATTTATTATAAATCAATGGAATATATTTAAATAATGCCTCTTATAATTATAGGTTTTTAGTTATAATTCAAAAATGGTTTATTGAAAGTACTTTCAAAAATAAAATTCTCGGCTAAAATTTTTATTCGAAATTTTGAAAATTAGGGTATTTAATTAAATAATTTTGGTTTATACATGTTATACCCCCCTCTCCTTCCGGCCCCTTAATAATCTGAATTAATGATCCTTATCTTAGTTTTTGCGACTGTTACTCCGGTGCTATTTACCGATGATAGTTATGAGGAGAGGACCATGGTTATTGCCTAATTAAATAATTTCAACAAATGCGCCTCCCAAATTATTTAAAGATTCATGAAATACTCGAACATTAGCTTTCAAATTTAATGATTTAAAAAATTGAAATCATAATATTTATTTTAATGTGGCAACATTTTTCTTATTTTAAAATATTATTAATTTTATCTTATACTTACTATACAATATTAGAGGCCTTTTTAACACATTATCAACGCGCTATAAAACTAACAAAACTAAAAATGTAAAAAAGAACAAAAATGAGAGGAAAAAAAATTTTGGAATCGTTTTGCAGACTTTTAGTTTCAATTTCATGTACTTAGTAATGTTTTACATGGTGTACGTGCTTTTTATATTTTCATTTTTCTTCTTTTATTCAAAAAAATCTAAAAAAAAAAGAATTTTTTTTTCTTTGTAGTTTTTCCAATTTTATTCTAAAAATGAAAGATTTTGGTGTTTAATATACTGTTTGCCGGTGTGTTGATGATGAGCTCAATGAAATGAATGGTTTTTTTTTTTCATTATTTTGGAATTTGTTTTTTTATTACGGGTACGGTTTGCATCAGCGTGTGTTTGCATTGGAAAATCGTTTATTTGTTTTGTTGTATGTAGATTGAAGCATGCCGAACTTATGCCTTTTTGTTTTTTTTTTTTTTAATTCGGTAAAAATAGAAAAATTAGAAGTTGTTTTTATTGCTTTTTTTTTTATTTTGGTTCTCTATTTGAGAATTCAAGCCTCAGATCCTCTTTTAACAACTTTACACATAATTTTTGTTAGTTCCTTTATTATTTTCCTTTTTTAAATAAAATATATAAAAAAAAGGAAAATTTTATACTTTATTGTTTTTTTTAGTGTTAGTTACATGTTAGACTTATAGAATAAAACAACAATAAAGTACAAGAAATAAAAAAAAAAATTGTACGAGAACAACATCATTCTTGTAAAAATTTCTAGTCTGACATGAAACATTATTTTATGTTCTAAAATGAAAAGCAGGCAAAAAAGAAGAAAAAAAGATAGAAAAATATTGAATTGGGGAAAAACTAAAGCTAAAAATTATTTAGTGAAAAGTTGCATTCAATATTTTTTCTTTTTCTGTAGTTCATTTTATTATTTTCTATTTCAATTTTTTATCTTGTTATTTTGCGTATTTTAATGCAACCTTGTGCTATATTAATTTTTTCTTTTATTATTATTATGATGATGATGATTATCAAAGTGAAATATTAAAATAATAGAATAAATTATCAGATAACAGATGAGATAAACCTGGACTTAATGGGCCTATTTGTAGCGGAAAGACTATTTGACTATTCGGCTGAATTAATAAAATTTTATTAATCTTATATTAAAAGTTTAAGCTAAGATTATAGGATATGTTAATTTTTTAACATACATATGTGAAATTTTTATGAATTTGCGACTTTTGGCGAAATATTGAATGCTTGAACTTACAAACCATTTATCTGATATAAATTTAAAAATATTATTACAATGCCAAAAACTTTTAGAATAAAAATTTTACAATGCTAATAGAGAATTCCGAAAAACTGAAAAGAAATTTGCGAAACCGCCCTATTAAGATATCATATGGAGAAAGAACTCAAAGATGTGTATAGGCAGGTAGAGTACAAATTCTCAAATTATCTTAAATTAATTAGATTATTAGAATTAGAAGACAAATTATGGAACTCTTAATTAGAATTGAAGAGAAGAGTAGAGTTTTAAAAAAAATGTGTTTGTATTATAGAATTGTCGATGTACTACATAATGCTTACCCATTGTTCCTAAAAATTTATCAAATTTTTATATTTGAACTTTTATTCAGAGAGTATTTGTAATTTTTTGAATTTTATTTCAAAATTAAAATATTTTGTTATTCCTACTTCGCTCCAAGGAGGTGCATAAAGCTGGTGCACGATATTGTTGATAACCATGAACCAGTTTCTTACGTCATTGATTTTATTAGGTAGTTGACGGTACGCTCGTCAAAAAATTAATATATTTTACCATTATTGAATTTATTTCCTTAAAAATTTAGTTTTGAAAACAATTCTATACGAACGCTGAAAAATAATGGTCTGAGATATAGCCTCAAATTTATGTTTTTGATCAGCGTGTAATTCTGAGTTGATTTAGTTGACACGGTCAACTCTATTTTTTCTCGTTCTTATTCTATGATCCGTTAACACAACGTTCTCTAACTCTGTTCTATACTTTATGAACTTAAAATTTTACATGATTTTATGTGTAAATGAAAAAAAAATTTTTTTTTGTATTAAAAAAGAAAAACATAAGTTTTTAGAATGTATTAAAATAACATAAAAATGCATTAGTTTTTAAGAATTAGCAAACAAAGAAAAAAAATTCTAACATAAAGACCAAGTGAACCTTTTTTTGTTTTTTTCCTATATTGTAATTTGTTTGTAAATTTAACACAAAAATACAAGGCTTTTAAAGGATAAATGAAATATTCTTAAAAAATAGACAAAAAAAAAATTAATATAATGATAACAAAATGAAAATGAAATTATTGAAAAACGTGTTTTGAATTTCGAAATAGATGGAAATAAAAAAAAAAAATTAATAAAATTTTTATAGAAATAATTAAGAAATAATTTTGTGATATAAACGAAATACTTTTGAATTTAAATTTAAATTCAAATTAATTTGAATTTTGTATTTTGCACTAACATTGAATCGGGAGAATACACTCATTGTATGCAGGATTGTTTAATATATTATTTTGATCTAGATCATTTTATACGAATTTTAAATTATTGAATTATTAATTAACCCAATTAATATTGAAATTCCCAATATAAAAAACTCTGAAAAACCGTGATATTCAAAATGCATTTTAAAACTTTAAAAACAACTACATACATTGTAGTCTGGATTTTTTCAATCAATTACGTAATTAAACCAATTTTTAGCAATTTGGAATTTGCCAACACTGTAAAAGTTTTTTAATTCTACAAATAACGGATCACAGGTATAATGTATAGTACTGCATTTTGGATGTCAGGAAAATTCAAAAGAAATTAAAATTTTATAAGCCGCGTACCTGTAGCACGGCTTTTGAAATATGTACAAAATGTTATTCAAGCCGCAGTTAAATATTAATTTTAAATATTAAAATACATGTTGAACTTCCATTTTTCTTGCAATTACTATTATTATTCTTTAAATCCGAAATATTTTTCAAATATTTTCATCTGTAAGCAAAGCTCATTTTGCTGTTTAATTTTTAATTAGATTTGAACGTTGAATACAAAT